CTTGTCTTCTCACCCTAGAGCATTCTAGAGCCACCCTGGCCTTGCTGTGGAGAGGGTGGAAGCTGTACATCAGCTGCTCACCTCCCATATGGTGTGGGTGCATGCCTCTTCCCCCACCCTGCCCTACTATCCCCCCAGGTGGGAAGCTGGAAGAGTGCCTGCTCTTCAGTTGTGAAGAGAGAGAGGATACTCCTAGTAGACAAAGAACAGGAAAAGAAAAGGCTGAGCACTAAGGACAGGGTTTAAACTGAAGAGCAATGCTAGCTAGGTATTTGTGATAAAGCTTGTAGTTTATAGCTAATTACCATATGTAGTAACTGTTCTGCATATCATTATGTATTTAAAGTTAATTTTGTTACATGTACGCTTGATGGTATTAGATTTTCTTTTTATATGCTGTTTCCTTGCACAGGTAAAAATCATACAGCATTGTGTTTAAAAAGGATCCCACTATGACATGATTCTGTGTGTGTGTGTTGTGTGTGTGTGTGTGTAAATTTGTAAGATATATGTATTTTGGAGTACAATGTGTATTTTATACTTACAGCCACTTCATATATAAAATGTATAGAGAGGGCCTCCCTGGTGGGGCAGGCAGTTGAGTGCCGCACTGTGAAGCTGTCCTCAGCCTCTGCAGTGCGGGTTCGATCCCCTCCGGCCGGCGAGAATCTCACATGGCAAAGCAGACCTCTCCTGTCTCGCCTGCCGCTCCCCCCAGCAGTGATTTTCGTCAGTCTGCCTGTTCTGTTCCCCGCTCTGTCTCTGGTGAATCCTCTCACCCTGCGGCACATCTGGCCTGTACCCTGGTTATTGTATAAATATATAAATCTTAAAAAAATACGTATAGAGAACATATAACAATATAAAATATCTTTTATAATCTTAATTAGCTATGTGTACACCCACATTTTTTGAAAAATGACTGAAAGGACACATAAGAATTGGATAATAATGATTGCATTCCAGGGGATTTTTTTTCCATTTTTTCATATACTTTGATTTTTTTTACCATTAGCATGTGCTATCTTTGTTGCCTTTGCAAAAAGCAGTTCATTTGTAAATTTTATAGAGATTTTTTTCAGCTTCTCTTACCCACTTATCCCCAGTTCATATTATAAATTCGAATGACTTTTTATATTGAGGCCTTCCTGGAAAAAACCTCCTCACGTGCCCCTCCAGAAGGATGTGGTTTTCAGGCAGGCAGAACAGAACCCGGTCATTTCCTTCAGCTGCTAAAGAAGTTCCCAGCCAGGACCTTCTGGGGCAGGGCGGGGCAGGACAGGACCCCCATCTTGCAGCCCTTTGGGAGCAAGGATGGGCCTGAGAGTTGGGGGCTTTCTCCCTGTCCTCCCCCAGGGCCGAGGGGGCAAAGGCAGCATCTACGTGTGGGCCTCGGGAGACGGCGGCAGCTACGATGATTGTAACTGCGACGGCTACGCCTCCAGTATGTGGACCATCTCCATCAACTCCGCCATCAACGACGGCAGGACGGCCCTGTACGACGAGAGCTGCTCCTCCACCTTGGCCTCCACCTTCAGCAACGGGAGGAAAAGGAACCCCGAGGCTGGCGTGGTGAGTGGGGCCACTCCCGCAGGATGTGGTGGAGGGGGGACGCAGGACACTGCGTGACATCGGGGGAGTGGAAGGGGGCTCGTTCATTCCCTCCCAGAGTCAGCGCATGTCCTCAGGGGAGAACCGTGGCCTTCCAGGGAGAACCATGACCTTCCAGGCCTCTTAGTGTTTTGGCAAAAGTTGGAATTAAGAGCTGTGAGGACGCCCTTCCAGCTGATTTCCCATAGATTGTCTTTGTGTCCACTCATCATTTTGGCTGACAAGTGTTGATGAGAACTCACGTTGAACCAGAAGTTGCCCCTGCCTGTCACTAACCAAGAGAACGAACATTAAGAATATAGGCATCACACCACCACCCCATCTGAACCAAGAACCCATCTACTTATCATAGTGATTTCAAAATGGCATCCAAGAATCCATTCTGGGGCCCAAATTGGGCACGTGGTATATTTTCTTAAGGAAAGAGCAGTGATTTTCAACATATTTTAAAATAAGCCCAGGATATAAAAATCAAAATGCTGAAAAAAAGGAGACTTTGATCATATATTGCACTTCTCTGAGCAGCTCTTTATTCCTAAGGGAGTAGGTATATTGATGCATGTTCCATGTCCCTTTGACATATATTACTGTAGAACATCATGGACATTTTTGGATCTCTACCTCACTCTGGATGTTTCACTACCTATCTGCTTTCCTCAGACCTCAAATAGGTGGTCCTATAGTCTTGCTGAGTTACATCCTGACTGGCCACCCGTCTTGCTCCCCAAGGGAAGAGGGCAGGAACAGGGACACAACATTCATTACCAAACAATGCTCCATCCCAAGTTCCTGCCTGAGCTCCACCTAGCTAACCAGCCAGTGTGTGAGCCAGGAGATTACTTTATCTACAATAGACACAGCCCTTACCCTAGGCTGCCTCTGGTCTTTGGAAGGACCTCAGCATGTGTCAAGCGTGTGAAGTAGAAGGAGGCTTCAGCCCCTCCTACCTATGAGCATTTTGTCATAAGAGAGAAGAGCAATGGGCCTCCATGGGGGCGCAAAGGGTTAAGCCGCAACCTGTGAATCTGTCCGCAGCCACTGCAGCACGAGTTCGATCCCCAGCCAGGGAGCAACCCACATGGTGCAGCAGACCTCTCCTGGCTTGCCTGCTGTTCCCCTCAGCGGTGTATTTCAGTCAGTCTGCCTGTTCTGTTCCCCACTCTGTCTCTCGTGAATTCTCTCACCACCCCCACACCTCTGGCCTGTACCCCAGTTCTTATATGCATAAATAAATAAATCTTTAAAAGAGAGAGAGAGAGAGAAGAGCAGAGCAGAAGGGGACAAGTATGGGGAGCTCAGTCCGACTCCCTGGTCCCAATTGTGTCACCTTGTCTTCTATGCTTATCTATGACTCTCTTTCTACTGAAGCTGGGGATGGGCCTCAGTAGAGCTACCTCTGAATATTGTAATTTTTCCTGGTAGATGCCTTTAAACCTCCCTGATACATTGTTCCTCAAATAATATGTCCCGGGCCTCCCCTGGTGGTGCAGTGGTTGAGCACTGGGCTGTGAAGCTGCCCACAGCGTCTGCAGTGCCAGTTTGATCCCCAGCCACCGGCAAGGGTCCCACATGGTGCAGCAGACCTCTCCTGCCATGCCCGCTGCTCCCCTCAGCAGTGTATTTCTGTCTATCTGCCTGTTCTGTTCCCTGCTCTGTCTCTGTTGAATTCTCTCACCCTCCCGCGCTTCTGACTATACCCAGGGCTTGTATAAATAAATAAATAAATCTTTAAATAATAATAATAATAATAATAGGTCCACTTGAGGATCCTATAGACACACAGGAGGAAGCAGAATCATATGGTTTATGTATGGTTTTAATGAAAACTCTGGCTTTCAAAAATACTGAATGTGAGATTCTTTTTTCTTTGTAAAAACCTGATCAGTCTCTCTCCCTTTACAATGTTGTGAAATACTCACTTACATGGCAGTTGTCCTAGTTCACTATGTCTTAGACTCTCTCCATAAATTTTAGATATAGAGAAACATTTTGTTTTTAATGATCCATACTTCTAAGCAGACTTGAGTTGAACATGTTTATTCTCTCTTTGGGAATATTGCAAGTCACTGTCACTAAAAGTAACTTGTCACTTCCCATCTGTATTGTTTCACTTTAGGATCCAGGAAATAAATGTTTTCTACCTCTGGAAGCAGATATGCTTCTCTGAACAATTGCTCTTACCTTATGGACACTGAAATGATAGTTGATGTGTGTCCCTTTTTGCATGGGCTGCTAGGAAGCTCAAATAAAATTTATGGCAACATGGAAAGGTATATGGGTGCTAAACTTCTCCTCAGCTCATCTTAATCTTCACAACAAAGTATAGTTTAAATAAGAAATATAGAATACCTAATCTTTATTGTTTAAGGGTTCAAAATTGCCTGATCTGTTATTCATTACTCAATATCTTCCTTTCTAGGCAACCACAGATTTGTATGGCAACTGTACTCTGAGGCATTCTGGGACCTCTGCAGCTGCTCCCGAGGCAGCTGGCGTGTTTGCACTGGCTTTAGAGGCTAAGTATGTTTCCAGCTCAGGGCCAAAGGCTGGCTCTATAATACATCCCTCCCCCAATACCAAGTTTCCACAAGTAGGTGTGAGAGTCTGTAAGAGTTAAGGTCAATGAACTCTGATGGCATTTCGAAATGACCCATCAGCCCAAGGAAATAGACACACTCACTCACACACACACACACATTCCACATAATTCCATCCCCAGGAGAGCACAAGACCACATCATCCAGCTGCACAAATCAGCTACTTCTCAGATATCAAATAGGGATACATAGATATTTCTTTTTTTATGAAAACCATCCCTTTATACTCTATGTATTCATGACTGTTTTACTCCAAGAACACTCATAATCAGCTAAATGAAGGTAAACATTTGCCAGACTGTGTATCACCAAGGTATTTCAGACCATGTGATAAACAGGACACTCACACTCAAGATTTGTTAACTTTTCAGGTTAATTCACTTTTAATACTGAAAGAAGATAGGCAAAGTCATGCAGTATAGACCAAGAAATGAGCTTTGTGGAAAACCTAAGCTACAGGTAAGAAGAGACCATCTTTTCTCAGCACTACACAGAGAGGCCACATATCACTACTACTGGATATACCTTGATTTGAGCCTCAGCAGAGAGATGTCCCTGACCATCTGCTACTCTGTCTTCTCTTAGGGAAATTCAGAGGTCAGCCTTGTGTTAGAGGAATGAGCTGTGGGCTTCAGGCACCAGACATATGGTTTGAGTGCAAATGTTTGCTATGAAGAGAACTGTCTGCAAATGCTGTACCCAGCAATTTGTGAGAAGTTCGATTCATTCAGGCTCCTGGGGAAAGGGAGTTGAGTTCCCATCCCTGTCAGCCATTGCTAGGCAACCAGAGTTTCTAGCATCAATCTCCAAGCAGCCATCTCTCTACATATGCAATGCATTTTCTGATTTGCAAAGGAGGTGAGAGCTGATTCCAAGAATAGGAAAGTTTTTGAGAGATTGTGGAGTCTAATTCTCTGCCTTTAAGCAAAAAACAAAAAACAAAAACAAAACAAAATAAAAATACTTAATTTTTACAGATAAACCCCCAAGTTCGCAATGACACTTTTCTTTGGACCAAGCCATAGTTTAATTTTTCTAATGAAAGTTAGGTGGAAGTTTTAGGACACCAAGAGATGGACAGTGATCAAAGCAGGCTGTTGAGCACAGAGGCCAAAAACCTACATATTCTGTGCATTTCCCAAAGATTCGTTTCTTCATCTCAGGGCTTGTGGACCCTGGAGTCTGAGTCGGTTTGCTCACTCCCACTGGGAGCAGACAAGCAGTGGATGTCTGCTGCCTATGTGAACTTCTCAGAGAACAGAGAGCAGGAGTGCTCTAAAATGAGGAGGGTTTCCTGGTCTCAATTTAAACCTTGACTTGACTCAAAGTCTCCTTGGATATTGGCAAGTGTCACTTGCCAATGACAAAATCTAAATGAAAGTGGTGGATCAAGACTGTAGGATTTCTAAACATATTACCTGACTCTGTACCAATATTTTTTTATTTTTTAAAAAATTTTATTTATCTTTTTTATTAATTAATTTTTATTTTTTTACATCATTGTTCATTTTTAAACAATATTTGCTCCCCCCACCCCCTCAGATATAGTCCCCATAGACTTTCCTTCACCCCTGCACCATCACCTCAGTCCCCTGTGCTCCTCCCTCCCTCCCTCTGATCCGTCTCCCTCCTCCTCCCCTGCAGGATGTCTCTGATTTATAATTGTCTAATTTTGCTTTGTTGTGTTTTGTACTGTTATTATTTTTTTACACTGATGTCTTATTTGGTTCCTCTATATTCCTTCTATAAGTGAAACCATCTGATATTTTTTCTTTTTCCTTCTGGCTTATTTCACTGAGCATAATTCCCTCTAGCTCCATCCATGTTGCTGTGAATGGCATGAGTTTATCTTTTTAATGACTGAATAATATTCCATTGTGTATATGTACCACATCTTCTTGATCCAGTCATCTATTTTTGGGCATTTGGGTTGTTTCCAGGTTTTACCTATTGTAAATAGTGCTGCAATAAACATAAGAGTACAGGTGCTCTTTTGAATCAATGTTTTTGTGTCCTTTGGGTAGATCCCTAGGAGTACAATTGCCAGGTCATATGGTAGCTCCATTTTTAGTAGACTGAGGAATTTCCAGACAGCTTTCCATAGTGATTGGACCAGTTTGCACTTCCACCAGCTTTTTTTACTTTTTTTTAAATTGAAGTAACATTGCCTTATATAAGTTTGAAATTTTCATTATCATAAATCACCTTGTGTATACGCTACATTAAGTTTACCACTAAAGGTCCAATTCTGTCCTCCACCATATAATTGACCTTTTTATCTGATTTACCTCCCTTTCTCCCCTTTTATCTGATAACCATCTTCCATCTTATAATCTAAAAGATTATTTTTGTTTATTTAGGTCATCTGTTTGTTTTCTTTATATACCACATATGAGTAAAATCAAGTATCTGCTTTTTTCCCATCTGAATTATTTCTCTAAGCATAACATCTCCTGCTCTAGTTGTGTTGTTACAAGTGGCAGGATTTCATTTTTTATGACTGAGTAGTATTCCATTGTGTATATATACTAGCATACATCATCTTTATCCATTTATCTGTCAATGGGCACTTAGATTGTTTTGAACTTGTGCCTATTGGACCAGGGCATGTGACCATCCAGTGAGGCAATGGCTCTATGAACACGTGAATCAGAGTAGTGTTGTGTGGAATGACTATCTGGACTCTGCTTTGATTAGGTACTTGTACTGGTTCAAGATTGAAATCAGCAAATCCAAATAACAATAGCTAAACAGCAATATGTTTTGTTTTTGGTTTGTTTTTTTTTTTCCTGCATTGGGAAAGATAATACAGAGGTAAAGAGCCAGAGCTAGTGTGGAGGTGCTATTATGAATCAGGAAATCTGGCTCTTTCCAGATTTCTGCCCTTTCCAGATTTCCTGCCTTTATATTTCAGGCAGGAAAAGGGTAAAAAGAGATCTACCAGTTGAGTCACAAGTCTTTTCTAAAAAGTCCTGCTGAGTGGTTTCCACTTATTTCTCATTGGCCAAAACTGTCACATAACTACCCCAGGCCGCAAAGAAGGCTGGGAGATGCAGTGTTTTGTTTGTTTGTTTGTTTGGTTGGTTGGTTTTTGTTTTTAGCTAATAACATTACTCTTCCTAATAAAATTGAGGTTTTCTCAATAAGAAAAGAGGAAAGGTAGGTACAAGGAGGACAACAGCTAGTATCTTCAAGAAACTAAGTAAATAAACAATCACTTTCCTCTTCTGGATATCTACTTTCTTTTTGACAAATATAGAAAGTTAGATCATCAATAAATCACCTGTGATTTCCAAGAATATTGTAGCATGCTTCAAAAATATTATGTCTTTAGAATGTACATTTTTAATTGGTTGTATATTGATTTTGGGGTTGAATATGCCTTAAAAATTAAAGACATTCCTTTACCTTTAAATATTGTGACCAATACTATTCACTTCTAACTTATTTGAAAACCCAATATATGAGATAGATTTTATTATTAATAATAATAAAGTCTTTACTGAGTGTCCAGGACCACTGAGTGTCTAGTTCCTCTTCACACATTAATCTACACCTAAAGATGTGAGGGTTGAGGTTCAGATTGTAAAGGCAACTCATCCAAGCGCACCTGATTGGAAAATAGCAGAGTCAATATTTAAACCCTAAGGAGTTTAAGGTTTTTTCAGAGAAGCTTTTCATCAAAGCATAATAAAAACAGAGAAAAGGTCTCCAACTCCAGGCCTTTCCTGGGCCTGATTGTGAGACATAGAAAAACCGCCATCTGGTCTGAGGGCCTTCCCACTTGCTGTGCCCTTGGCAGTGGGCCGCTGTGAATGAATTGTCTCTTCCTCAAGAGCAGTGCACAAAATTAGGTTTCTGTTTCTTTAAGATCAGGATCTGCACACCACAGCTACCCCAAGGCATCTTGTAAACTGGATTTTCTGTCACAGTTCACAGGTGTTAGGCAAACAGGGGCTGTGAGAAAATGCCAGCCTGACTTACAAATACATTATTTTTCCAGACTGGAAATAATTCAGACTTTCGAAATCATTTTCTAATCCTGTCAAAGTTTGGAAGATAGACTCAGAATTTTAAAGCTGAGAGAAAACCATTGCAAGTTTCACTACTCAAACACCTCTCTTTACAGAGGAAGAGACCAAGACCCAGAGAAATGAAGCTTTTTGGTCAGGTTAATACACAGCTCTGTTCAGATAAAACCATAACCAACAAGAGACAAATGAAAATTCTGTTGCCTCCCAGAATTCACCCAATGTTTCTCTTTCCTCCAACCTTAAAACTGAAACTTCTTTAAAAGATTTTAGTTTGCAGTTCCTCTAAAGATGCATGTTCTCTCTCTTAAAATTACCTTTGCTGTCTGGATCACTAGGAGGAAAATGCTCATTGGGCCCAGGAAAATTTGACACCATAAATAAAAGAACTCTGAAAGACAGTGGTTGAGGGATATCACACACACACACACAGGAAACACACACAAAAAAAGTCAATATTTTGTATTTTATTTTTCTTAGCATCAAGTTGGTAAGCCAGCTGTAGTTTTGGCGAGGACAACTTTCTGTAGCAAATACAGTTTGCCCATTATAGGTAGGCAAACAATTGTTAAGAATGTAATTCCCTGCCAGGAACAGGTTTTCACGGTTTAGGAGACTCCTGAGTCTCCCTGGTCAGTATCCTGACTTAGTCAGGCGAGGCCAGTCTCTTCCTGGGTTTCAGATCCTCTTTACCAAGAGCCACAGCCTCTCCTTGTCAGGCATGATGTCCCCCAGGGAGTCCTGAGTAACCTCTTTTTGGAGCCCTGGCCTCTTCTAGTGAAGGTAGAATGTCTCCCCTAGAAGCCCTGGGCTCTAGTTTGATCTCTGGTTGCTTGTTCTGAATCAAGAGTCAGCTGTCTATCTTGAGTGGTCCAGGGCCAGTCTAATAACAATCATTTACTCTAACTTCACAGGATCTTACTCGTGACTGGATCCAGCCAATAAATTCTTTGCCAGCTGCACAAATGTAACCATTTTTGTTGACAATTGACCTGGGACTTACTCATATGTGGCCTTGTGAGAGCCCCCAGCTTTATTTCTTATGGCCATGCCAGGGTCAGATTCCTGTAGCAGCATCTGACTATCATGGTCCTGCCTTCCAGGCCACACATCTAAAATACAACCTCCCTGGTGATGTTTATAAATATCAGATGCAGTGTCCCTCTGCTCTTACTTCCTGTCACTAAGATCAGGTGACAATGTTCTAACATGGGTCAAGCCCTGTCATGCCTCCTGTCTCTTGGTTCTGGGCTCTCCCTGCCTGTCACACTCAGTCTTCTTGTCTTCCTGTGCCTTTTTAAGTTTATCACTTGTGTGTTTCCCTCCTCCTGCCTCTAGAGCCTTCCTTCCAGAACATTCTTTCTCCTAGGAAACCCCCCACCTTCCCTGTCTATTCACTCACCTTGGCTTAATATGCTTCTTCCTAAGAGATCCTTGCTGATGTTCTGGACCAGAGTTCCCCACATTTCCCTAACTGTTTGTTAAAAACAGATACCCAAGTCCATCCCAGATCCATAAATTCAGAATCTCCTGAAGAGCACCTGGAAAGCAGTGGTATTAACAAGCACCCCCAGAGCTGCCCAGGAAGTTAGGAAACACCCTCCTGGGCCAAATTTGCTTGAACTTTTGGCTGCATGTTAGAAAAACCAGATACTTGGTTCAGTATCTGCAGAATTAACATCTCTGTCCTGTCTGACATCATTATTTTTTTTTTTTAGCACTTCATTCACATTACAGGCAGGGTTGAGAACCACCGTCTTAGACCAATGTTCTCAAACATCTGTGTGCAGAAGAATCTAGGGAGTTGCCTTAGGTGTAAATCCTCAAGCCCGCCCCTCAAAGACACTGATTCAGGAGAACTGGGATGGAGACCAGGAATCCATATTTGTTACTAGTCCCCATGTGATTCTGACACCCACAGTCTGAGACACCCCGCCATCCCCAGGCTGTTATCCCCTTGGGATAACACAAGGACTCCAATGTTGGCTCTCTTAGCCAACTCTCTCTCCGCCTAAACTCCTCCTGTTTTGACAGCCCTTGGATTTTTAAATATTGCATTGTCTATGTGTACCCCAAGGCTGTAAGCTCTGAGAAGGCAAGGACCTCCCTATGATGTGCCCAGAATTAGTGACTAGACATGGTATACACTCTGTAGACATTCATGGAATCACTTCATCATGTAATATCTTTCCATATATCAATGTCTTACCTTCTCAATTATTACATGGGATATTTGAGAACAGAGAACATGTTAATTGTCCTATGAACCCAATGTGGTGACATTTGTATCATAGATACGCTGCAAATTTTTTTATTATTGAATAGGTATCACCTATGATTCTTGAGTTGCTATGATAGGAATAAAACAGGTTGATGAAATACCTGTTTTACATGATAGTATATTCCATAAAATCTAAAATTGTTCAGAAGGGGAAATTAGGAGGGAGGGACTCAATTTTCTTTTCAGATAATATGCAAATAGCTGACCAGAGTCACAAACCCAGTTACACTGGGATGTGGACTATACTCTCATTTATTTCAGAAGTGAGCAGTTCCTCATTCTGCTACTTTATGTCCCTCCATTATAGACCCCATGAGAATAAACCATGGACAAGTATCTGAGGGAGTCCTTCTAGAGTCAGGAAGCATAGCATGCTTTGGTGGCAATATGTTCTCTTTTGTGTCTGCTTTCTGTAGGTCAGCATTCTGTTTGTGAGCTATATCCATACTATTTGCAGCAGCTGTAGTTCACTCATTCTCATCAATATGTAGTATTCCACATCTACAAATATACCTGAATTTTGTTTATTCTCTCTATGGGCATCTAGTGGTTTCCCAGTGAGGGCCTATAAAGATTTTAATACATGTGTCTGGTGAATATATGCACACATTTTTAGTGGGATGGAATTTCTGGGCCATAGCTTAAACATATGGACATTACTAGAAAATGCAGTCAGTTTTCAAAATGGTTGTAACAATTTGCATTTCAATCAGCAACATACATGTATTCCAGTTGCCCTCATTTTTGTATCAACATTTGGTATTGTCATCTTTTTCATTTTAGCCATTCTACTGTGTGTTAGAATGTGCTTTTGAAATAAATTTATTTAAGTAAGGAAAGGCAAAATTGTTTAAACTGATATATGTAATGTTTTAAATAGTATATGGCAATCCTCTCTTGACTTGGGGATTCACTGATATTCCAAAATCTTACAAGGGGTCTATGTCCTACCTTAGTTATTATGTCTCTCTCTCCCTCTCTCACCCTTCCTCTTGCCTTTGTTTTTGTCCTCTGTGACACTGGTATCCAGCCTGGGTCTGACCTGGCGAGACATGCAACATCTGACTGTGCTCACCTCCAAACGGAACCAGCTTCATGATGAGGTCCATCAGTGGCGGCGGAACGGAGTTGGCCTGGAGTTTAATCACCTCTTTGGCTATGGAGTCCTTGATGCAGGCGCAATGGTGAAAATGGCTAAAGACTGGAAAACTGTGCCTGAGAGATTCCACTGTGTGGGAGGCTCTGTACAGGACCCTGAGTAAGTAGTTCTTCTAAGATAGTAGTTCTTCTGCTGCATGTGGAAAATGTCCTGGAGATAGCACCATGGGATTGGTAAAAATATCAGATTGCCTCTCTGTGTCAGGGACATTAGCTAGATGTGTTTCCAGGGCAAGCAGGACTGTAGTGCAGCACAAACACAGGGAGTACCACTTACATAGAATACGATATTGTACAACTTAAACCCTGCTTTTAGGAGTGAGCCCTAACTATTTCAGTGCTTCATGTCACTATTTTTAAATGCACAAATCAACCAACATAACCAGTTCCCAGATCACTAAATAGAACATGACCGATATCCCAGAGACTCTTTGTGTCCCATTCTGTTATCTCTCCAAGTGTAGCCACTATTCTTTTAATTATTTTAATTTTAATTCTAATTATTTTGTCTATTTTACACTTAATATAAGTGGAATTATATACTATGTTTTCCTTCACATCTAGATTCCTTTGCTCATAAACATTCAATAATATGTAGTGTATACTTGTACATTGCTTATTCTTATTGTTGAATAGTGTTCCTCTGTGTGACTATCACACAATTTACTTACTCATTCTACTTGTGAGGCATTGTGAAGATTTGATGTGAGTGGGGTGGATAGCCATTTGGGGGCAATTGAGTGAGAAGTTCCCTAGACAGAATCCCTGGACTGGTCACATGAACCTCTTCACTTCCAGCTTCTCATCACAGCAAGAGGACTGGACAATCAGGAATTCCCTGTATTTATCTCTCTCCTCATTGTTCCATCAGTAAGACAGAAATAGAAATTCTTATTAATATTTTTAATTGAGGTGTTATTTACGTACAACATAATACACAGAAATTAAGTGTTTTTATTTGAGTTTTGATAAACGTATATATAAATATGTGGGTAACCATCACCCAATCTGTAGATGAAATGTTTCATCACTCCATAAAGCTCCCTTGTTGCCCCCTTCCAATTAATTCCCAAATTCCATAGATAATCATCTCATAGACAATCATCCCTGAATTTAACTAGAACCTCACGGTATGGCTGTTTTTGTGTCGAGTTTCTTCTACTCAGCATTATCCATCCAAGTTACTATGGTTAGTACCAGCTACCGTATTGCTGACATAGTCCATTGTGAGCTGCACCTGTAGAATTTATATCATTAAAATGTTGATAAAAATCATCTCGTAACCCTCCTGAGCACCCCTCCCACTTTATGTTGATCATTGGAACTTGACCAGAATCAGCCTCTCTCACAAGACACCCTACCCCAGTAGCCAATGCTCCTGGATTCTCCACAGCTGGATTACTCAGACCTGGATCAAGTCTAATTTCACAAAATTAGATGATAATTTTGACCATTCTATTTTAGAATATTCAGGCTTTGCACCCTGGCCTCTTTAGCAATGTGGCAAAGTCTATGGCCCCCACCCTAAAAGAATGTGTTATAATGCATTCAATAAAATACATGATAATATAAGGGAAGCCAATTATGCTGAAATTGGCTAAAAATGTTTTTTAAACAAACGCATTAAAGAAACAACACATTTACCAACGTATTAAGTGAAAAAGTTCCCAGCAACAAGTCTAATGGCCCTGATCATTCTGGAGTGCTGATGTTGTCCAGTGCTACTTTAGGACACCTGTGATGATGAGGGGACAAATGTCTCTGTGTTCTGGGGAGGAGCTAAGACCACTCTGACATGTACCCTGCATTCAGAATCAAAGGAGAAGTTAAGTATCCATTATAAGTTAGTGGAAAGTAATTAATTTAATTTTTAATTATAAAATTTAAAATTATATATTTAACCCTTAATATATGTTATAATTAATTTATTTAATTTTTTTCTTCTAAATCCTGTATCCCCTAAATTCTGCCTTTATGGTCCCCAAAGAAGGAGCCTCTTCTTCTCTAGCAAAATGAAGATAGTATCTCTTTCCTTGCTAGGAGATTTAGTGAGACAGCAAGCATAAAACTGGCACATAGTAGGTGCACAAGAAATGGAAGTTTCCCTCTCAACCATGACCTAGACACTCCTTGTTCACACCTATGGGGAAAAAGAAAGGACAATTTCCGAGAATTCTGATTCTTATAATGACTTTAAAATTGTGTGTCACTGTGACCTACAGCATCCCACACAGGCAAACATCCCACTGCTCACTCGCTGGGCTTCTGGAAAGCGACACCTAGTGGATTATTACAGAACTGTGTGTGTTTTTCCATGGACCAGTCGGTGATCTCATAAAGCATAGTTCCTTGCAGCACTACCTGGGAAAGTAAGTCTGAGGCCCAAGTCCTATAATAACTTGTTTAAAACAGAGTTTCACAAGCCCCATGTCCTGTCTTATAATAAAAATAGCTGCTTGGCAATGTTCCAATCACACTTCCCAAAGCTGCCATGTACATTGTTTCTTTTCACTCTTGTATAGGCTTCAGTGTAGCCCAAACAAGTTGGTTGACTTGATCAAGACCACAGAGGCTATTAAGTATAAATGAAGGAAGCAACTAGCCTTTCCTGGGCACCTACTATATGTCTTGCACTTTCCAATCACATAAGCTTCCCAGTCACCCTTTTGTTGAGTGTGTCTCACACTCACATAGTCAAAAAAGTCACACAGGTGGATGTTTTGCAATATTACAACAAAATGATCCTGAATTATGTCTTAAGAAAAAGCCCTTACTGTGTACCTAATATGAGGCCTTTTACATACACTGTATGTATTTGTCCTGTCATTGTTACTTCTTACAGGTGGGGAAACAGATGTAGCAGCACAAGAAATGTGTTCAAGGTCATAAAGGGTAGACCAGAACTTGAAACAAGGCCTGTCTGAACCCAACTCCCTTTTTCATTATATGACATAGACCTTACTTAGTGAGCTCACGTTATGCATTCAGACCCTATGTTGAGCCTATACTCGAGCAGCCCTATTGCAAACTGAAAGTGTTATTACAGATGAGAAGACACTCAGAAAGGTTAAGACATGCAAAACCTGCCCCATTACTGAGTGGCTATCCTGGGATTTGAATCCAGGCACTCTGATTCCAGAACCCCAATCTGGAGGCCTCCCAATATATCTCAATATATTGGGCCTCCCAATATATCTCAATATATCGCCTATGGAGAAAATGAGGCCCAGTAAATACAAGAAGGCCCTAGGGTATGGGTGCATTTTCCCATAAAAACTCCCCTGGAAACTTAAATACCATGTAGCAGGTAGTGCCCCAAACTCTGCCATTTTAGAGACCTTGCCACTACCAGGGTCTATGAACAGAATGAATAGACAGAGCCAAGACTGAAAACTTCTGACCAAATGGGGGATTGAGGGGTAAAACATACTCAGAATAATTAACTTCACCCACTGTAGGTTAGCATAGGTAGATATTGATAACTATACTTCCATATCAGCCTTCAGGGTAACTTTTTGAGTGATTTGGAGGGACCAGGAGACTGCAGTGGTGGAAATGTTCTGAATGTTCTATATCTGAACTGTCCAATATAGTAACTATGTGGTGTACTAGCAGTGTGACTGGTGTGATGGGGAGCTAGGGTCTCCGTTGGATTTCATGTCAGTTTATTGATATTTAAAGAGCCACAATATCTAGTGGGGCACATCTGGTAGTTACATGTAGCAGGAGAGAGGCTAAATAGCAGCACCTCAATGAGAAGTGTATTTCTAGTAACATGAACTGCGTGAAGGTGTGTCTAGAAGTCCAGCCTACAAGAAAACAGGGTCAGTTCATTTCACAATCCATGCCCCCAGTGCCACTCTTGCTTGGGTTACTGCTCCCTCCATACACACAGACCAGCGGTCCCTCTCCCAGGCCAGACATCTGTCTACGGGCAGCCCTGGGAGAATGCAGGCACAGAGTTGCCACCCATAAGAACTGCTCTTGGATAGTCACCAGGCTGGCACTTTTCTTTCAGCATCTCATTTAAGCATGGGAGTTTGGTACTGCTAGTCTCATTTTACAGGCTAGAAAATAGACGCTCAGAAAGAGAAAGTAAATGGCCCTAGTTCATAGAACCAATAATTTCACCATCCTATTTATTCTCCAAGGCCTTAGGGTCCAAAACTTATTAAAAAGATTTGCAAAGGGAGGAAGTTTACAGTGTCTGTACCCTTCCAGGCACTTGGACCAGCAGATTATGCAACTGAAATAATATCCACAAATAGTTGAACACAGGACTTTGACCATTAACAGATAGTGGTGTGGTTACAATAATTAGGGGAACAGTCAGCTTAGAATGCACTAGGACCCTCTTAGTCAAGCTGCATGCTGAAATAAGTCCTTATTTTCTGAGATTTCTCTGGACACAAAGGATAGATTCTTGATGATTCTCAAGCTCTGTGCATGGAGATGGGGTGGGGGAGGAGAGAGAAATGGAGAACATTCGCTGGAATGAGTGACGGCTTATCTCCCAGCTTCTGAGAATGCTTCACATTCTGTCACAATCCAGAGGCAACACTGAACATATGTTGTCTGAGTCCATCATTTTGCAATTAAGGACTCTGAGGCCCAGACACATTTGGTTCCAACAGCTCAAAGCTAACTAGGAGCTTTATGCAACATCAGCAGCAGCAGCCTGTGTCAGCATTGATTCAGTTGGGTCCTGCACGGGGACAGGGGCCTAGGCCATGTTGTCTACTGGAGGACCCTCAGTTCAGTGCCTAGTACAGTGCCTGGCACTTAGTAAACACATGATAAATATTTTTTGAATGAATGAATGCATGGATTTTCATCCCTCATCACCTGAGCTCAGGAAGATGTCTAACTGGTGGCAATAGGTCTAGAAAACCAGCCAGAGAAATTTGGGAAGGAGGCCCAGTGTTGCTGGAAGAGCTCTGTGTCCCTATGGTGCCCTCTACTCCCCATCCATTATCAAACCTGATCTTGCGCTCAGGTGCAGGTGAGTTGGGTATCGGGAAGATATACTCAGTGGCTGGATGGGGAGGTCTACAAGACAATGCCCAGGTTGACTCTGCTGCCAGCCAAGGAGCCATCATCACCATGAATCAAGCTTCCAGGGGCTAGGGTGAGGGATCACCAGCCATGGCAACCGCCACTTTCTATGACATGCAGGGCTGCATGGAAACAGCCTCAAGTGGGGTGAGCAGGCATGGGTTTATGGGTTTCCTCAGCAGTAATCTTCTCAGAGAAGCAGTCAATTTGAAAAGCAATTTTCTGAAGAGACTTTATCAGGAGAGTCAGTGAAGGGTGCTTGACTAAAATAAAAGGGAAAAATACAGCTGGCCATGATCATGTGCCCAGACGGCACAAGCAGGGAGCACAGCGAGCCCAGTCTGTCCCATGCAGTGCCAGCAGCCGTTGAGTGTCTTCCTGGAGTGAACTGTCTAGTGCAAGCTGCCCCCCTATTTCTCACCTGCACCCCAAAGAGAACTGTTTACTGGGGTCCTTTAAGACTGACTTTAAAGAAAATTTGGAACTTATGTTAAAGTCCAGTAGGAATGCCAGAACATCATAGTGGAGAGAAAAGAGAGCTCTCAGACACAGAGAGGCTCTGTGACCTGCCCCTGTCATGTCCGGGCTGTGGTGACTTCCGGTGTGAGTTCATGCCCACCTGACACAGCTGTAGAGGGGAAAGAGGAAACACCCCAACAGCCACCTGTGGAGTGTTCTGAAGGGACTGCCACCTAGCCAGCATTTCAGGCACCCAAGAAAGCTGACTCTTATTTTGCTATTGTTAATAGTCTAACTATAGTTTCAGAACCTTTTTTTTTATCGTACAGCTGAGGATTCAGAGCACAAAAAGCATTCCATGTGGCCCCATGGAAACAGCCCCTATTTCTAGGCACAAGGCTGGTGACCGCTCATTTGCAACTATGTGCAATAAAACTTGGACAATAGGCTCGTGTAATCTCCAAAACTTTGGAGAGGGTCTCAGAGCAATTGATGCATGCCTCATTTTCTGCAGCAAATGAATGTCACCCATGGGGGTCTTTAAGGATCTCTGCACACCTTCCTTTGTTTCCACAAACAGCCATGTCCTATTTTAAACTTTTATAAACTGACTTTTCCTAAGCATGGTCCCCTTTTCTTTAAAGTAAGAAAGGATTTTATTTCTTTTTCTTCATATAAAAGTAATATATAGTCTCAGTAGGAAAATCAGATAATACAAGTGAGCAAAAAGAGAAATGATAAGAAACACCTGGAACATAGTGTTCCTTGGTCCTCACACTTGCTAAGAGACTTCCCTGCAAGAAGGAATGGCATTCTTCCTTGTCTACCGAGCCTGCTGCCTCTGGAATCCATATCAGGCTTTTAATTCATTCCAAGTGACTTAATGTGCTGACAAACACCAGGTTGGACACCCCATCCCTCAAGGCCTAGTTCCCACACAGACAGTGGGCCCTTCCTATCTGCCACGATCAGGTTGTTTTGTGAGCAGGCAATTCCTCCCAGTGCAGAACAAGTCAGAGTCCCTGGGGTCCTTGGAGTGGCATTCAACCCCTGCACAGACCTCAACTCCAAAGCTTCTAGGACAGTTCATATATCCTAGGACAAGTTTGTGCATTTGATCCCAACCCACCCTGTCCTAGGTGCATGGCCAAATTCCATGGTTTTTAGCTTCCTCCATCTCTCCTCTCATTCTCAAGATCCTTAGACCAGTAGGGGGCAGTAGGGGACCTGTGTTCTCATTTCTCCTTGTCAGTCACCCTTGAGTCACTTCTTCCTTGGCCTTTGCCTATGTTGTCTGGCCGATATGCCATAGGCTCTGGGAGAAGCAGGTCAGACAGTTGCATGGGAGGCAGACTCGAGGCACAGCCAGACAGGGACACACCAACCATTGTTCTGCCTATGGGGTTGCTTCTTGGGCCTCAAATTCCAGGTGTCTCTGCCATGCCTAAAGATCAGGGCAGCCCCCCTCACCCCAGGTCAATCACTCCCCAACTTTAACTCTAAAGAAAGCAAAAAAGTGAGAATGACTGAACTCCTATAATGAAATAAGAACCTTGTCTGAACAGCCAACAATGACAGTGCAGTGAACAGAAGGATCTGGTTACTGCTTCCCCAAGGCTCCTGTTAGGGATAGGTAGCACCTGTCTTAGGTGGCTTACCTGGAAGCAGAGCCTGAGAAAGTGTTCACATGCATGTGTTTCACTAAGAGAAACTTTTCAGGAAGAACCTTAGAAGTGAGGGGCTCCAGGTAGGAAGGAGGAAACCAGCAACAAGGTGATGTCAGGTAAGATGGACCTGTAACCTGACCCACCAGGAGCTCTGGAGCAGCAACAGCACCACACAGGGGTCCCCCCCACTTTGAAAAAAGGGTGCTGGCCTTATCATCCCCCTGTTAGCCAGGCATCAGCGACACATGCTGGACATGTGACACTCCAGGCTGGGAGCTCCCACTGCTTGAGGGTGCTTCTGAGAACCAATGAGCCAAAGCTCAAAGCAGCTGTGAGGAGGCACTGCCACCATCTTAGCCATGCTGGGCCTGAAGCTGTCCCATGTTTGACTCAATCCTTATTTCTCTCCTATTACAGAAGATCACCTCAGCCCTACAAAAACTTTTTCTTGTAAGAGGGACTTTTCTGTTAACTTACAGAAACTCCATTGCAGGGTGGCTGTGGGTCTCATTTCCACCCAAAGTAGTACCCCATCTCTGATCCTCAGCCAATCAAAGAACTATTTCATTTGGCTGCCTAACCCTGGCCCCAGTAACAATGTGACCTTTCTGTCAGGGTTTCCACAAACTGACCTGTAAAAGTGATGTCCCTGTGTGAACTCCAATCCACAAGTGCACTTTGTGCAAATCGAGGCCAAAAAATGAATTTTCTTAGAATTCAGTTTTCTTAGGTTCATGTTTTCAACCCTTTTGAAAATAGAGACTGTTACACTTGACAGGTGCTGAGCAATACTTTAGGAAATCTAGCGGGGTTATTACTAGGGTAATCATCTCTGGTTGTTGGCTTGTGGACTTTCTTCTTGAGTTTTTCAAAGTGCCCTGGCCTGTAAGATAGGAAAGAGGCTGAAACTCATTTATAAAATGAAGAAAAGTAAATTAAAAATTCAGTTTCTCACTCAACTCATCATATTTCAAGTGTTCCACAGCCACCTATCAGGTGCCCATTGCCTTAGATGGCACAGATAGGGAACACGTCCACCATTGCAGAAAAGTGTATAGCCGGGCCTCCCTGGCGGCGCAAGGGGTTAAGTCTCAGCACTATGAAGCAATCTGCAGCCACAGCAGCACAGTTCGATCCTTGGCCAGGGAGCTACCCGCATGGCACTGCAGACCTGTCCTGCTTCGCCCACTGCTCCCCTCAGCAGTGTACTTCAGTAGATCGGCCTGTTCTTCTCCCCACTCTGTCTCTGGTGAATCCTCTCACCCCCCTGCACCTCTGGCCTACACCCCAGCTCTTGTATGCATAAATAAATAAATCTTTGAAAAAAAGAAGAAAGAAAGGTGTGTGGCCAGCACTGGTCTAATCGCTTGTAACTATATGATGTATATGAGTGTAACTTGAAAGGTAGAAAGTTATATCCCATTAGACAGGTGAAAAAAATGAGCTCAGACAGTCCCCTTCATGTTGAGTGACTGTAACTTGCTCAAACCCATGCAGCCGGGTGGGCACCCAGTTCTTCCTAATTGACCCCAAAGCCCCTGCTCTCGCTGTGTTGTCACTTGAAATGCCCTTCAACTCCCCTCCTATGGTGTGACCCTCCCTTACCATATCTCCTCATCACTGTGCCCTCAGGAAAATACCATCTACTGGCAAGCTGGTGCTGACCCTCACAACAATGCCTGTGAGGGACAGGAAAACTTTGTCCGCTACCTGGAGCACGTCCAAGCCGTCATTACAGTCAACGCAAGCAGAAGAGGGGATCTGAACATCAACATGACTTCCCCGATGGGCACCAAGTCCATTTTGCTGAGCCGGCGTCCAAGGGATGACGACTCCAAGGTGGGCTTCGACAAGTGGCCTTTCATGACCACCCACACTTGGGGGGAAGATGCCCGAGGAACCTGGACCCTGGAGCTGGGGTTTGTCGGCACTGCACCCCAGAAGGGGGTGCTAAAAGAGTGGACACTGATGCTGCATGGCACTCAGAGCGCCCCTACATTGACCAAGTCGTCAGGGATTACCAGTCCAAGCTGGCCATGTCCAAGAAGGAGGAGCTTGAGGAAGAACTGGACGAAGCTGTGGAGAGAAGCCTGAAGAGCATCCTGCGCAAGAACTAGCTGGCTCGTGGGCCTCCCGCCTCCCTCCCTCCCCCATCTCTGCCTCTCTTTCCTCGCTCCACATTTCTGTCAGGCACCTAGCAATTACTGTCATCCCCACACAAGCGATTCCAACTTTCTTGATCTGAAGCTTCGCTCACTGTCAATGATTATTTTCATTACAATGGAAGCAATCTTTTTTATTCTATGCCCCAAATACAGTGTTCCCACCAACACCGATGTCCTATTTGTCACTCTAAGTTCTTTGTTTGTGTCATTCAAATAGGTGATATCCTGCAAATAAAACCGGGACAGCTTTCCCCTCGATTTTTTCATGTCTGAGAAGAGAAGAGAATGAAAAGGCCACACACGGTGACTCCAAGAACGTTTATTCATGGTCTCCATGGAGGGGACCTGTTACCTAAAAAAGATAATCAGACATTTTGACAGAAGGTGAGCTCTGAATTTCTTAGAGTGCAGGAGCTGCTGTAAGTCCCTTGGGGAAAGATGCTTTGAACATAGCCTGATTTTTCAGTGACGTAGATTAAGGTGACATGATTTGATAGATGCCAGCCAGAGAGATCCCTGATCACTGGATGGGAAGAGAGAG